TAACATATACCAAATAAACACATACACAGGCAACATAGATACATAGCATATAAATAGTCATCGGGCCCCGCCCGACATCGGACCTTTGCCCGGAAAGCATATAAACACATACACATGCAAGAGTCACGAAGACAAATAGCATGCTAACATAGCATAAACATGGGCCGACATTGGTGCCTTCGACCCGCTAAACGTAGTGAGGAAACTCACCTCGATCCGCTGCTAATTAGATAACACTCGGCTGCCGAATCGGAAATCCCACACTAACAACAAATAAAACCAAATTATTAATTATGCCATAATCCAATATTTGTGGTCTCAACTCGAAAGTCCCGACTCCTAGGGTAAAAGACCATTTTACCCTTTCCTTAATGGGCCCAACACAAACTTTGCCCAAGGCCTTCTAATGGCCCAACAACATAACTCGAGGCCCAAACCAACCTAAGGCCCACTCAAAGCTCTGAGGCACACCTAGAGCCCAAACAGATAATTCATAGCCCAAAGAAACAAGCCCAAACCTCAAAACAAGCCCATGACCAAAAGCCCAAGAAGCTCACTGATGAACCGAACGCCCTGCGTTCCCTGGTGGAGCGCAGGGCGTTCGTTGCCGAACCATAGATCGGGACCCCTTGCATGAACGCGCCGCGTTCCTGAGATGAACGCACGACGTTCCCGTCCATTGACCAAAAATCACACCAAACGTCTTATTACCTTAAGTAAAACGTCCAAATCCTCAAAATAGCTTCATGTCAATGACTTAACCCATAAATTTGTCAACTTGGCACCTTTTGCATGGTCCAAAAGGACATAATCGTGATTTCAAGCATTCTAACTCCATAAAGAGGCCAAGATACAAGCTTTTACCTTAAGACCTTAGTCCAAACTTCCAGATTTGATTCAAAGGGACTTCTTAAGTCATAAAGTTCCTGACTTTATGACTTAGCAAGACTTAATGGGACCCAAATCAAAACCCTAAGTCCTAAACTTTACCAACTGACCACCAAAACATGCTTAAAATGTTAATACTCATCAAGATCCAAACTTTAAGACTTCATAACCCCAACAAGGACCAAATATGAACCTCAAAGGTTCTGGAGTAACTTCTACTCATAAGAACCACCACAAAGGGACCAAAACTGTAACATCCCAAATTTAGACCAAAAATTTCATTTTTGATATAACAATTTAGAAAATCATTTGTAAGAAAATATCATCAAGTCATATCATTTCATCAAAACCACAGTCACATGTCTCAAAGTCATATCATGAAAACAATAATAACATCAGAGTACAATCCCAAGAATGTCATAGTGCGGAAATCTTTTGTGTGTGTGTGATGTGCAGCTACCGCACCGGTTCCTTCCCCTTCGCTGAAGAGGTACCTAAAACAAAACTAAAAACTGTAAGCACGAAGCTTACTGAGTTCCCCCATCATACCACATACCACATAAGGCCTGTCCCTCGGTATCTTTCAACCGGTATCCAGCTGGCATGACTGGGAGCTGGGCTCCCCTTCGGTATCTTACAACCGGTAGCCGGGAGCTAACCTCCCCTTCGGTAACTGGGGACTATTTCACCCCTACCACTACCACATAATAACATATCATGAACATATATATAGGCATGCATGGGTGCTGTCTACCCCTTCGGTATCTTTCAACCAGTAACTTGGGACTGTTCTGCCCCTACTACTACCACATACTAACATATATATCTAGGCATGCATGGGTGCTGTCTACCCCTTCGGTATCTTTCAACCGGTAACTAGGGACTATTCCGCCCCTACTACTACTAACACATAATCATAACAGATAGCAACATACCAGATAATTATCACAAAGACAATAATCTCTACTATAATCTCTTACCAGTGGGTCGGCCTTGGTGCCTTAGACCCACTTCTACTGGAAGGCAACTCACCTCAGTGTCGTGAAGTCTGTGAACTCTCCTCGCTGCCTGGATCAACTCCTCTTGATTCCTACACATAACAATCTTCCTTAATTACCATTTCATGGTCAACTCAGGTCAAAGTCAAAGTCAAGGTCAACACCTTGGTCAAAGTCAACTGTGGGTCAAAGTCAATATCTGGTTGACTCAACTCGCTGAGTTAACCCACCAACTCGCCGAGTTCCATAATCCTTAGAACACTAAGAGCTTCGACCCTACTCACCGAGTCTTTCAAGAACTCGCCGAGTTCTCCTTCATACAAAGTCGGGACTTTCTACAACTGACTCGCCGAGTTCATCCTTGAACTCGTCGAGCCCTTCTTCATGCAAGAAGGCACGTCTAGTCTTGGACTTGCTGAGTTCCTTATGAACTCGTCGAGTTCTTCTTCATGCAGTTGGGACTTAGTCTTGAACTCGCCGAGTTTTGTTCATGAACTCGCCGAGTTCCATGACCTTCAGGTCCACAATGAACCCAACTGGCTGAGTGTTCTTCTAACTCAACAAACTACCCATTATCAGAAGAGGTTTGGGGGAAACTGCGACCCGACTCGCCGGGTCGTATGAGCGAATCGCCGAGTCCCTCCATGTCCAAAACTATTTAGTCGATTTCAGTTGACCTTAATGCATCCATAACATAGATCTAACCTCATAGGGTCCATATTACACGTACAGTCACAAACTTTACGTCCATGCATGGGTCTTCAAGCTCAAAAGACCCAAAAATAAGGTCCACAAGGTGCATGGGACTCCCATGGCCATAAAGTTGGCACCTTTATGCCATGGGAACCCTCAATGGTTCCAGATCTGAAGTCATACCCCCTTAGAACCACAAAATCCCTAAAGTGGCCCTACTAAAGCTTAGAAAATGTAGGAACTTGCCCTAACTAGAGATCTAAGAGATAAATGGTCAAGGTTGTAGCTTTTTACCTTGAATGAGCTGGAAATGAAGCAAAATCTCTGGATCTACTTGCTTCTTCTGGAACCCCTAAGCTTCCACTTCTTTCTTTAAGCTTCAAACAACCAAAAACACACAAAAATAGGTCAAAGACACTCCAAATGCTTTAGGGTTTCGAGTTAGGGCTTTCCTGGACTGTGAGAGACGATGGAGGCTGAAATGGGATAATTTAAGGCGTTAAATAGGGTGTAAACCCCAAATATTAGGGTTTCATCCAGGCAGTCCTACTCGTCGAGTAGGGCTCCCGACTCGTCGAGTAGGTTACTTAAAACCCGCGTCCAGAATCCAGTCTAATCGACGAGTTGGGCCTCTAACTCGTCGAGTCCCAGTGTAAAACATGCAATTACTTAAATTTAAAATCCAGTCTATGTGTGTGTGTGTGTGTGGGGGGGGGGGGGGGGTTGGTGGGTTTTAGCCTTCTTATGTAAGTCAAAAGTAAGGAAAACAATCGTCTGTCCCCTTCGATTATTTAATAATGACTTTTTTTTAACCCCTGGAATAAACTTTTATGCCTTAGGAGTGCAAAAAAAAAATATTAAGGACATTTTAAACCAAAATAAAAATGTTGTAGGGCTACAATGATATTATCTCTAAAAAAAAGTATATTGCACTGATGGTCCCTGTGGTTTGATGTAATTTATGTGTTTGGTCCCTACCTTACTTTTTTTTTAACTCGGAACGTCCCTATAATTTGGTTTTGTTACGCTGTTGGTCCCTAGCCGACTTAAAATGGTTGATATACCCTTGTATAATGTTTTAATTGGTTTGTTTTTTTTTATTTACTTTTTTAACTAATTATAAAATAATTTTTTTTATTAAATGTGGGCCTACTCTTTCTCTAGTATCAATAAAGAATGAAAAGAAAACCTAATCCATCGGACCAACATCAGTTTCCCTTTCTCCTTCTCCTCTCTTTTCGGCGCCACCTCCCCTGTTCCACTGAAATCGATGCCGTCGACGAGTAGAAACTTCAAACAATCGTCTGACGATTATGTTCAAGGGAAAGATGTTGCTCACTCTTCCTTCCAATCATCTTCCCCCTTTTACCCTAAACCAGTGAACCACCCAACCATCATATGTCGCCTTTCTCCTCTAAACCAACGACACCCACAACGCACCTTAAGTCCATGACACTGAAGCCAACAAGAAGAAGCAACCTATTTCAAGGGACCCAACGTCCGACTTTCAACGACCACATCAACCAACAATTTCTGGATTTTGATTTCTTCACTACAATTTTAATCTAAGGTTTAAAATGGCAGACCATGGTGACCCTGTGACGACGAGAAAATCATATGTTTCGAGGAGAACATGTGATGGGGAACAACTGGAAGCTTCAAGTTAGATCCCTCCGATCCACCAAAATGGCAAAACCAAAGGGAAAAATTTGATGCAGCTGCGCTGAATCATGAGTCCCCTTTGTTAAATTGTTAAATCTCAATTTTTTTGTAACAATTTTGTAATTACCGGTCAAACTATCGAGTGTTAATAGAATAAACTGGTCTCGTGTGTTGATTCACTTGGGATTGTATGTGGGATTTTTGTATCTGCAACCTTTGCATCAACGATTTTGGTTTTGGATTTGAGGTACGGGTTCGATTTTAGATGTATTACAAATTTATTGTTGAACTTTACATAGATTTATGGTTGGATTTGTGTTTAGTTTGTGATGATTTATGTGGTGTGGCCGAAAGTGGTGACCAGAGTTGGTGCCGAGAACTGAATCTATGGCCGGAGATGGTGCCGGGAAGGGAAGAGGATTAAGGTGGGGTGGACCGGTAGGTCCCACTTTCAACAATATATTAATAGTTTACTTTATTTAAAAATAATTAAAATAATAAAATAAGGACTAATAAAATTAAAATATATTATTAAGGGCAAAATAGTCATTCTAAGTCGGGTAGGGACGAACGACGTAACAAAACCAAACTATAGGGGTGATCCGAGTTAAAAATAAGTTATGGACCAAACGCGCAAATTACCCAAACCACAGGACATTCCGTGTAATTTACTCAAAAAAAAAAAATCAATTTCCTTATTTTTTGTTACGTTGTCAAAACTCAAAAGAAAAGGGACCTGTTTGTGAAGTTGGATGAAATATGACGGCGAGTTCGTTTAAAAAGGAGCATTCTGCAACCTTCCTGCCTGTTCTAGAGGTTCCTTCCCAACTGTTTTCAAATTTCATAGCTCCCACAAAATCGCTTTTTTTTTTCTGTGAACTTCTTCCATCAATTAGCAAACTCGAAAGAAGATTCTTAACGAAGACATTAAACGATTCAACAGTAATGGATGTGAGGTCTGTTGTTGAAGCTGTTTCTACGGATGATGACGACGCTCCATTGTACCAGGTTGAGAGCCTCTGTATGCGATGCGGTGAAAATGTAAGTTTGTATGCGAATACACATGTATGAAGATGATTACAGTGGAAGTTCTTTGATGCTGATATAGACTTCAATTGCATTGAGTGACAGGGGATAACGAGATTTCTATTAACTTTGATTCCACACTTTAGAAAGGTAATCTTTATCTTCTTCGTTCAATTGCTTTCTCAATTTAATGTTGTAGCTGTTAGCTGTATGTTTCATGAATTTTTGTTTTTAACAAATCTTCGCGCCTTGCAGATCTTGTTGTCAGCCTTTGAGTGTCCTCATTGTGGCGAGAGGTGTGTGGATATTGATTTTACTTAACTTGTTGCAATTCATAGATCTTTCTTCATTAAATTTGCTGGTGAATGTTTAGTTGAAAGAGGCTCTCTTAAATGTCTTATTGTGATGTTCTTGTTCATATGAAGGAACAATGAGGTGCAGTTTGCCGGTGAGATACAACCCCGAGGTTCTTGCTATCGCTTGGAATTCTCATCAGGTGATCAAAAGGTTGTTGTCTAGTGAACTAAAATAAGATTTTTGTACTTCCAACTTACGTAATTTCATATAAAAGTATTTGTATATTTCATTTTTCTGACTGGATTTTTCATTGCAGATGCTTAATCGTCAAGTAGTGAAATCCGAAACAGCCACAATTAAGGTATGCGACTTTATCCTCTCAACGAGACTATGACTAATCAAAATCGGATTTTCCCAATTTATGGTACAAATTGTCAATTTGATTGTGCTTTCTTCCTTGTATCGGTATACGTAGATACCTCAATTGGATTTCGAAATTCCTCCCGAGTCACAACGTGGATCTCTATCAACGGTAATTCCGTCTTTTCCTCTTCGGATTAATCTTCTGGAATCTTCTAAATTTGAACTTCCTTTCAGTTCATTAACTATTTGATTACTTGTGAGGTTTTCCATTAAACCCTAGGCAGAAATAACTTAATTCTATTGACATCGATTTGAAGTGCATTGTGTATATCTTTCAGGTTGAAGGAATTTTGGTCCGATCTGCTGATGAATTACAAGCACTTCAAGAAGAAAGAAAGGTTTGCCAGTTGATTGCACATGTTCAATGCCCTCTTTCAACATAGTTTCCATTGTTAACTGTTGGGATGACCTAATTTTCAGTGATTTTGGACCTTCTTTTAACAGAAAGTTGATCCTCAGACTGCTGAAGCTATAGACAAATTCATATTAAAACTAAGAGCATGTGCAACAGGGAATTCATCTTTTACCTTCATATTAGACGATCCTGCTGGCAACAGCTTTATAGAGAACCCGTAAGTTCTTTTTTTTTTGTTCTGAAAAATAGCAACATACTTTTATTGATTTTTTTATTATATAGTAAAGTAGTATGCTATAATAAACAAATAAATGAAAGTAGAATGCTATTTCTTGCAACAGGTATGCTCCATCTCTGGATCCATCATTAACTATTGATTTCTACGAGAGAACTCCGGATCAACAAGCCTCACTTGGATATCTTGTTGACCAATCACAAACAAGAGAACATGAAAATGATGAATCATCAAACAAAAACAATCAAACATCTCAACCCCATGGATCAGTTGGAGCAGTTGCTGGAAGGCGAGCTATTGCTCAGGGTAACACTGCAGAATTTGCTGAAACTCTTTTTCGCTATACTGCACCAGAAGAGGTACTGGTAAAAAAAGACCAAATTGCCCTCTTGAGACATTGCCTGAAAAAGGGACCTAAATTGTTAGGAAACTATGAAATAAGGAGCAAACTGGCAAAAAAAGAAAAATACTGAGGGACCATTTTGTAATTTCTTCTTTGAGCAGGTGATGACATTCCCATCAACATGTGGTGCTTGTGCTGTTAGATGTGAGACTCGGATGTTTGTGACCAGTATCCTATTTTTAAGTTCATAAATTTTTTCGCCAAGTCAGCAATGACATGGCTTAAATAAATTGCAAATACAAGGCTACAATTAAAAAAAAGAAAAGGAAAGTACATTGCTATTTCGTGCATGTGTCCCTTTTAAGGTTTGTTTAGCTTGACTTATTGACAAGAGATTCCATACTTCCAAGAAGTGATTGTGATGGCATCTACTTGTGATGCTTGTGGCTATAGAAATTCTGAGGTTTGTATTTATTTTTGTACACCTCTTTGCTTGTTCTTCAAGTTTTCTCATTGCTTAGTTTCTTGCAGCTGAAGGCAGGTGGTGCTATACCTGCAAAAGGAAAGAAAGTGACACTGATTGTGAGAAATGTTAATGATTTAAGCCGTGATGTCATAAAGGTATCCATATATACATAAATAATGAATGACATTTTTTTTTGAATTTAGTGCGTGTTTTTCTTAACAAAATGGTTTGGTGTGTTTTAGTCCGACACTGCAAGTGTAAAAATCCCGGAGATTGATTTGGAGCTTGCAGGTGGCACGTTAGGAGGCCTTGTGACAACTGTCGAAGGTTTAGTCACCAAAATCAACGAAAGTAAGTTTTTTTTTTTTTTTTAAAATCATTTTGACAAAATGTCAGCTTGAGGTGCTGATACTAGCTGATAACTAAAAAGCTAGCTGTTAGCTGGAAAAAAAAGACCATTGGTAATAAAACTAGTTGAAATATGTAAAATGATATAAAAATGACCCTAAGACTATGTTTAAAATATTTTACTTTTTTGTAATTATAAAGGTGGCAAAATATGGTAAAATAAATAAGCTTGTTTGTGATAATGATTTGTAAATAATTACAGGTCTTGAGAGAGTACACGGGTTCACTTTTGGAGATAGTCTGGACGAGGATAGAAGAAGCAAATGGCTCGACTTCAAAGCCAGGCTCCTCAAGGTATGAAAAATGTAGTTATTATTAAGATTAAACTACATTTTTGGTCCCTGAGTGTTGCTTATTTTTTCAGCTTTGGTCCCAAAAACTTTTCTCTTACAATTTTGGTTCTCATTTGAGATTTTGTAACATTTTTGGGACAAAATTATATTCAGGGACCAAAAATAGTCGTTTCCATTGGAACAACGACCAAAAAAGTCACAAGAACATCAAATAAGGACCAAAATTGCAAAATTTAGCTATACCCAGTGACCGAAAATGTAATTTACTCTTATTATTATTGTTGGTATTAATTTATTTCATGATTATTGTCATTGATATGTTGCAGCTTCTGAATATAGAAGAACCTTGGACACTGATCTTAGATGATGCTCTGGCAAACTCTTTCATTGCACCAACAACCGATGATATTAAAGATGACTTTCAGTTAACTTGTAAGTTTTTTTTTTTTTTTTTTTTTTTATTAACTTTTTTTGGAACAATAAATAGTAAATTGTTAGAAAAGTTTCTATTTATTTTTGTTGATACATGGCAAGTTTATTGAAACAATTTCTTTGGTTACTGGTTTGTGACGTTGTTCCTTAATAAACATTTTCACAAAAATTGAAATATGGTTATTATTTTAAATAAAGAAGGTTGCTATGGATTTTGCAACATTTGTGATATGTTATTGCGCATATAATTTGGTTTTTGATAAAAATGTTTGAAAATTTCAGTTGATGAATACGAGAGATCATGGGAACAGAACGAGGAGTTGGGATTGAATGACATGGACACCTCTTCTGCTGATGTGGCATATGCTTCATGAAATCAGATGGCTTGTATCATAATTAAGTTTGTGTCATTTGTGTTTTTCAAGACTTTTTACTGTAAACTTAATGCCTAACTACTTTTGTCTTATTATTTAAGATTTTACAACTGACTGATTTTAGGCCATATTTCATAGTTATTTGTATAAGAAAATAAGAGATTCGAGTTTTTGTAGGCTTTAGGGTTTTTTTTTTTTTATCAAGTTGGGAAGACACCAGTTTTTATAAGGATGTTGTGATACATAAATAAATTACTGAAAAAAGAAAGCTTTATTTTGTTTTTGGTGGTGAAAATATAAAATTGAACGGGGTGCATAACAAAAAATCTGACAAAGAGCATTCAAGACAAAAGGACTTTTAGAATAAAACCCAATCCAAAAACAAAAACATCCTGAAGAGAATAAATAGCATTCAATGACATTGCCCAAGCATAAGATTCTTCTAGAGTGATCAATTGAATCTAATTCCTTGAGTGGCCAACTTAATTACTCCTTTACAAAATGGGGTTCCCAAGAAGTTATTTATCAATTACCATTTCAATATCAAAATGGGACTATCAAAATGGGAGGAAGATCTTCTCAAGAATGCAGATGCTGTTATAGATAAGTCCCCAATGGAAGACCTCTATGCTGGTGTGTTCTTTAACAAAAATAGAAAGGTAGACCTACCTCCCATCTCAATCTGTTCCTTTTTTTTCTTAGCATAAATTACCATTTTAGCCCACGTTAATATCTACTTTCTAGTGTAAATTGAAGTTTTTGTCATATCACTTATTTGGAAATGGTATACAAGTTTGGTTTTCTGTTTTTTGGTGGTAAATGACAAAAATGTCCTCGGCATACATGGTATAGCCGAGGGTAAAATGGTCATTATACATGAACTTAACCGCTTCAAGGTACAAAAACCGTGACCAAAAGGTAGTTTGAAGGACGATAAATACAATTAATGAAAGTTATGCAGCATATCCATATAAGGTAAATACCACAAGGACGAAACTTGTTATTTAGGCTTTTTCTTATAAATGGTGATAGCATTCATATTCTTTTATAGGCTGTAGGTAAATGGTAGAATCATGTAATGTAAATTGTAGAATCATGTAATGTAAATTGTAAATACCACATTCTCGTATTATGGTAAATGACAATAATGCCCTCATCTTTTTTTGGTTGAAATAGAAGTATTGGATTGACAAGGCAACATTTGGCAACTGCTTCATGGTTTTTGCAAGGGACTTTTCAGTCGCATGGGGTAGTGACAAACGTTATTGGGATTGGCCAAGCATTAAAGAAACAAGGTGATATTTACATGCACATGAGTCGAACAGATTTATTTATCAATGTACAATGAAAAAAAATAAAAATAAATAAACAAATAGATTAAAATATATTGCTATTTTCTAAATTATATTGATCAGAAATGGTAAATGCAAAAAGTAAATAAAAAATTCCTTTGTCTATGCAGTGAAGTGTTTATAGATGTTGCGGAATTGATAATGGTTTGTTGGTTATCGGTGGGGTCGAAATTTGACACAGCCAATTTAACAGCTGGAATGAATTATGAGGTTGTATTTGTGATGATGCTTAAAGAAGATAGTTATGGGTGGAGTGATCCTGTCACTTTTAGACTCGACCTGCCAAACGGAAACAAACAACAACATGAAGAAAGCTTGCTTAAAAAGCCAAGATCGCAGTGGTTTGAGATTCAGGTGGGAGAGTTTATGGTGGAACCAAAAAACGATGGAATTATCAAGTTCATGTTGGGAGAAACTGATTCCGGGGGTTGGAAGAGAGGTTTAGTCGTCAAAGGTGTGGTCATCCGACCAAAAAAGTGAGACTTGGGAGTTGGGAATACTCGAAATATCTTATTTGTTGGGCTCTATACTTACTTATCGGACTATATATATTTGTTATGTAATAATGGATGAGGATTCCCAATTTTTCCATGCATCAAATTTGGGTACTAGTTGATACTGATTGGATCGTATTTGCTATTTTAATGTATTGTGTATTGTGTTATAAATAAGATGTGTATTGAGGTGCAGTATAAAGTGCTTAGGTCCCTAATTTGGAACAATGTTGATTCAATCATATTTATTTATTAGATGGTCTATAGGGCTGTGTGCTTTAAAATTAACATGTGTATTAGAGTTTAATGGAAACACGTATTCCAACTTGTATATAAGGGATGCGGATCTCAATATACTAACACTCCTATTTGCGCTTATAAATGAGTCGATCATATTTGCTATTTAATCGTCTATATTTTTATTTTATTTTTTTAAATGACCAAGGAAAAGAACAGTCGTCAGCACCATATTGTCATGTCTACTATGGAACATATGGAGGGTAAGGAATGATAGAATTTTAAGGATTTGAGAACTTCTTACACAAAAGTAGCCGATAATATCATCTCGCTATCGTTTCTATGGTGCAACCACAAGAGTAATAATGGATGTGGAAGTTGGGTTGATTGGTGTTGCTCGCCATTTCTTCATCTTACTAATGTTGTCTTGTAAATACTTTGCAATTTTCTTTTAAGCTCCTTGTACTACTTCTCCGTTTTAGCTTCTTGCTAAGCATAGTCTTTTGCTTTGGTTATTATATATATATATATATATATATATATATATATATATATATATATATATATATATATATATATATCGTATTTGCTGTTTCAAAAATAAATAAATAAATAAATGACCACCACACGCATCCATTATCCTATTTTTAAATCTATATTTTTTTTTGTTTCCAACAAGACTTGAACCCTCAACTTTTAGCTAAAAGTCACTTTTATGTCAACTCCTGATTTCTACTCCTTTTATCTATATTAGCAATGTGGAGTTACTTTATGAAGGAAAAGGAAGGATGTAAAGAGATTAGAGTGTCATTGAGATTTTTTAAGGAAAGAAATGAAAGGAAATATGTTGTTGAGTTTTTTTAGGGGGAAAAAAATACAAATTAAACTAAAATTCTTAAAGCATTTGCTTTGAAATAGCAAGAAATTAAAGAAATTACCAAAATAACCATCGAAATCGCAGATGGAAGCTCATCTCTAACGATTTCGCTTAATGGGTTGCAATTTTATGGCTCATGAGCCCGATGTATTTAAACTTTTAGAAAAAAAAAAAACTAACTTCATTTTCATATTTTCAAACTCTATGAATTCTATCTCGTGGCGGAAAATGGATTTCCATCTAATAATGTTGTAACTTAGCAAATATCTAGTTATTGTGTCTGTATTTTACTAGATATTGTTTAAAACATCACCATTTTAACAAAACATAATAGTTAATGCTTTAAAAACTTGTACTTTACACATCAAAACTTATACATGGTTGTGATGAAATCGTATATAGCATGCCCATCTGTAATTGTACACGTTTTTAATGCACGATTTATGCATTAAAGACTTGTAAAATCACAGATGGGCATTGTAACATCCGTTTTTAGGGCCTAAAGGTTTTAACCATTTTTGGTATGAAAATGAAATTGTAACGTCCCAAAACTCAAAACTTTTTTTTTTTAAAATTAAATCAAACATGTTTATCAAACCACAAAGTATTTAGAAAGTATCAATAAACATCCCAAAAGTACACCAGAGTTAAATAAGGGGAAAATCATGGTGTGCAATGTGATCATCCCGAACTCTTCCCCTTCGAACCGGAAGTACCTGAAACATAAACTGCAAACCGTAAACACAAAGCTTAGCGAGTTCCCTAAAATACCGCATACCATACATATATGTCAGCTCAAGGCTATATCGGGTCTATTTCACACTCGGTTCTATTTCACCCCCGAATCTATTTCAACTCATATGTCAGCCCAAGGTTGTACCAGGTCTATTTCACCCCGAGTCTATTTCAACTCATGTGTCAGCACAAGGCTGTACCTGTTCTATTTCACCCCAACTCTATTTCACCCTACATACATATAGCAAACAAGCACACATGCATACAGACATACAACAGGAGTCACGAAGACAACAAGCACATTCAACCCTAGTATCCTATAGTATAGTGAACAAACTCACCTCAGTCCGCTGTCAATCGAATAGATGCTCGGGCTACTGAACCAGAGAATCCCCACACTAACCAATCAAATAAAACCCTAATTAATAATTGGGTCATAAACCATAATTGGGACTTAATAAACTAATCCCAACTCTCAGGGTAAAAGACCATTTTACCCTTCCCTCAAACGACCCAATAGCCGTGGCCCAAACTCAATGACACAAAAAGCCCAATAATGGCCCAATTCCTAAAAGACAATCAAGGCCCATTATGGGCCCAAATCCATGAAGGACCAAAGCCTAACAGTGGCCCAATATTAGAAAGACTTGTGGCCTAACAAGGGCCTAAAACCTTAAAGTCCAATGGTAGCCCAAAAGTCAAAAGCCCAACCTAGTCGAGTATGCTAAGAGTACCCCTAGTACGCCCGACATACTAGGTTGCTACACAGAGTCGGGGATCCAGACGTGTAAGCTTGCGTACGCCCCCATTAATCCATTTTTCCTATTAAGCACTTAATGCTAAAGACCAAACGTCCATATTCCAGATCCAAACCTTGGAGAACGTCTTAATCCATAAAGTCACTAACTTGGTGCCTTTCCATGACTCCAATGGAGTCAAACCTTAGATTTAGCATCCTACTTTCACCAAATGGACATATACTCATGCATGGTTGATCCTCAACCATCAAAATGCTAATTTCATGGACTAGGGATCTTATAAACATCAACATGAACAACTCATAACTTTTGGAGTGATAAATTCCCACTAGATCTCCTTCATGGGACCAAAAAGTGACCAAAACTCTACTAGATTTAGATCTAAGCATAGAATGAGCAAGGTCAAAGCTTTATACCTCTATGAAGCTGGAAATGATGAATGTAATCTGGATCTACAAGCTCATCCTTGATAAATGTTCATCCACCAAGATTCTTCCTCTTGGAGATACACCAAACACACGCTAAAACATACACAAATGTCGACTCTCTCTTGGAATGGGCTAAGGTTTCGAAATGGGACACGAAAGAGGCTATGAAGGCCGGTAAAGAGGAAACCTTGGGTATGACCAGCGTACGCACTCCCCTCCCAAACCCTAAAATTAGGTTTTGTCCCCTGATTACGTACGTCCCATTCACAAGAGGTATGCCCAGCGTACGCACTCCCCTCCCAAAAATTACAAAAATTCCCCTAGGGACAAACTTTGCAAACTAATACACACCAATGATCAAAATGAAAAATACCTTGAATCGAGTGTTACAATTCTCCCCCACTTGAATTAGACTTCGTCCTCGAAGTCCGCTGCCACAAATAACTCTGGGTAATGCTCCCTCATCTCGTCCTCCGGCTCCCATATCCATTCAGAACCCTTTCAGTGCTCCCATTGCACCTTCAAGAGATCCACAACCTTGTTTTGTAGAGTCTTCGTCCTCCTTTCAAGGATCGCTACCGGTCTCTCTATATAATTCATACGATCATCCACTTGAATGTCCTCCAATAGAACCATTGCGGAATCATCAACCAAACATTTCCGCATTGAGACTTGAAAAGTGATATGGATCTGAATGAGCTCCTCTGGCAGATCCAATCGATACGCAACCCTGCCCACCCGGGCTAACACCCGGGAAAGGACCAATACACCTGGGGTCTAGCTTATCCCGCTTCCTGAATCGGATGACACCTTTCCAAGGTGACACCTTCAGGAGTACCATATCCCCAACCTGAAACTCCATGTCTGACCAACATCTATCTGCGTAGCTCTTCTTTCGGCTCTGTGCTATCTAAGGTCTACCACAAACCTGCTAAATCAATTTCGTTATTTTGAGTACCACCTTCGTACTCCCCATGACCCGCTGACCGACCTCACCCCAACATATCGGGGTCCTACACTTCCTCCCATAGAGCATCTCAAAATGAGGTCGATCAATATTGGTGTGATAATTGTTGTTATACTAAAATTCTGTCAAAGGAAGATATGTATCCCAACTACCGCCAAAATCCAGAACATATGCCCGCAACATGTCCTCCAATGTCTGGATAATGCACTCACTCTGACCATCAGTATACGGGTGGAAAGTCGTGCTTAAGTGCAGACGAGTACCCAACTCCTCATGGAATCTCTTCCATAACCTGGAAGTAAACTGAACATCCCTATCCGAGACCACTGAAACTGGCACCCCATGTCGTGCCACCACCTCCCGAATGTAGATATCGACTAGCTTTTCTGACGAAATACTCTCCTGGATCGGAATAAAATACGCGCTCTTGGTCAATCGATCCACGATGACCCATATTGAATCCACTCTGCGCGCTGTCCGAGGAAATTTTATGAGAAAATCCATCATAATCTCTTCCCATTTCTATACGGGAACACCCAACAGTTCCATTTTGTCGTGAGGTCGCTGATGATCGGCCTTGACTTTCCTACAAGTCAAGCACATGTCCACATACTAGGCCACGTCCTGCTTCATATATGGCCACCAATAGTCGGGGATGAATAGAGAATCTCGACTTGTGCACCTCATCCATCAAAACCTGACGTGTACCACCCCAATATGGAACCCACACCCTCCAATGAATGGTCAATAATCCTCGGCTATCATAATCGAAGGAAGCCACCTACCCACTATGCGCTCGCTTTTCCGGTGCTCTTCTTTCGTATCCTCAACATGAGCCTATCGAATCTGATCTAAGAGCGGGCTCCCACCATCGCCACCATCTCAAAACGAAAAGCACCCAAGCGCTCATCCAAAATCTCTGTAATACCTTCCTTGATTGTATCGAAGATCACAGGAGTCTGCTCAATAATATTGCACGTATTCTCTGATGAAATGAACTCCCACATCTGATCATCAATAAACTCGTCCCCAGAGCCCGAACCCGAACCATCATCGGCACCAGAACCACTACTAGAACCTCCTCGAGTGACCACTATACTGAAAATAAACCATTCAAACCATCAGAATATATATACTCGAAGAATCCTACATTCTATAAGCTTCTTAGTATCATTGTGACTTTCCTTGACTCGAGTACGGATCCTCTGCTTCCAGTAGTACGGGCCCATACTACCTTCCACATATATCCGTACTTTCCTC